TATATATATATATACACACAACTTGTCAATGTTACAGAAAATGTAAGTACCTTTAAAACACCAGCAGCTAATCAGGTTTCATCTCATTTGTTTTATCATTGTTATTTAAACACCAAAAAACTAACATCTGGTTCACATTCATTACATGTCCTAAGACACTTTTCCAGCATTTTCTCAATTTTTCTACAAACTCAATGCTATCAAAGATAAAACTCAAGAAAGAAAAGAGCTCTCGTCTTTCTAAAAATGCAAGGAATCTGTTCCCCATCCCCCTCCCTTTTGTTTAAAGCAGCCCAGTAGATTATAACCATTCATTTCTGGGAAAAGAAGTCTACTTCATATAGGATGATACTGCAAAAATAAGTATTACCAATATCAAGTATGACTTACAGCCTTTAAATGATACTATGATCTCGCTGTCTTACTCATCCCTAATACCCAACCAGATACAACAAACAAACCAAGAACACGTAACTGCTGCTATCAGATAACAGAGGGGTAGATTCAAATACCTAACCAACTTGTGTTGAAAAAGCTAGGTCGAAAATTGTTGGCCAGCTGACAGTGGCGGGCACTGGCAGTCAGAATACCATAGCCTTAAAGGGAGATTCGCTCATTCATCCTGTTTAGCATTAGATTAATCTGACACAACCAAACTCACTGGCCCAAGTGGCTCCGTCGGCTCACGTAGGGAAGGGGGAGGAGTCCAGTGACGTCACGGACATCAACGTCACCGGACTCCTCCCCCCTTCCCTTCGTTAGCCGTCACGGACATCGACGTCACCGGACTCCTCCCCCTTCCCTTCGTTAGCCGACGGAGCCGCTTGGGGAAGGGGGGAGGAGGCCGATGACGTCGATGTCCGTGACGTCGCCGGATCTCCGACGGAACTCTCGGAAGACCCGGAAGACGGCGGAGAGGTGAGTACCGATCAAAAAAATTTTAATCGATCAAATTTTTTTTACGATTAATGGAGGAATTAATCGTTAATTTCCGCAGCCCTAATGTATATATAAATTTATTTTGATACATGCACACTTTATTCTTTAAAAATGGTGCAATTGCAAAAATACAGCATCTGTTAATCTGCTAGATATCAGTGTGCTAGTAACTTCCTGTTTTGGCAACAGACTTCAACTCGCTCTCCAGCAGCATTCTCAGGAGTTTTGTTACAAGCTCATCAGTGGTTGGCTAACCAACAAACATTAAGGCTAACCCTGATATATCTCTGACACAGCCCTCTGAATCGCAACAGATTCTGAAACATCATAGCCAGCCAATGAGCATGCCATACTTGTGAAATCCGAGCACTACAGATTATGAGATTACAGTACATAGATCCACCTACTGAGCCGTACACTGTACTAATCATCCTGCTCCCAGGACACAGTGATTAGTTCTGAAACAGTCTCTCTGGTAAGTACATATAGGGCAATTTATCAAAACCGGAGCAGACAAAATGTGGAGCAGCTGTGCACGGCAACTAATCGGCTTTTCTCTTTCATTTTCAAATCTTAACTAAACAAACTGAAAAGCAAAGCTGATTAGTTGACCCGGGCAACTGTTCCAGATTGTGTCTGCTCCAGTTTTGATAACTTTCCTCCTTGTGTATATTGAAGCTACTAATGAGGAGATCTCTGCACTCACCATGATAAGACCAAACCCACACATGGAAGTTATTGGCACACTCCGCTGTGTTTTCTTTCAAATTACACCTGGGTGTGACCAATGAAATGGCAGTCAATAGGACTGCCAGTAGAGACTTCAGCTTAGCTGATGGCAGCACCCATGCAGGGGGCGGGGGAGAGCACTGTGGGTACCCAATAGAAAACCAAGAACAGAACATTTTTAATTTAAAACGACAAATACGTTTTAAAATTAAGAGTCTCCTCTTTATAACGAAGACGAAAAAATGAAGCTTTAATATCACTCTAAGGTAGGTATTTGCTGACCGGCATTAAGGGCCTGTTCACACGACGTTTTGTGTGCTGACCGGCTCCGTACGCTGCTGCACTCAAAATGCATCCCAATGTATCCCTATGTGTTTTATGGGCTCCAGTTGTCATGTGCGCAGTCCGTTCAGCTTACGACAGAAAAAATACTGCATGTCACATTTTGTCAGGTCCGGAAACGGAACGGATACGCAAACGCGTCAAAAACGCATCAAAAACGCACTGCGCTGCAGCTAACATACTAACAGCCCCACTCCAGCAACAAAAAAACAAAACAAAATTTTTTTTTTTGCTGGAACGCATCAAAAACGCGGCCAAAACGCGGCCAAAAACACAATGCATCAGCAGCTCACCTATCATGTGCTTGCTGAGCACATCACAAACCACATGTCAATACTTGCATGGGTTTGGCAAGTGCTTAAAAAGCCCATGTAAACTAGCCTTAATTGTCAAAGCTTTATCAAAACTTCTTTGCAGAAGAATAGGGATACATTTTTAAAAAACACTTGTGGTTTGCAAGAACAAATGTATATGGTTCTATTCCCACCAATGAAATCATTGATAGGTCCATGACTTTGAATGGGTTTCTTTTGGGTGCTCTGGTTTCCTTCCACAACCCAAAAAACATATTGGTGGGGTTCTTGGCTACCCAAGTTAACCTTAATGAGTGTTTGCCTGTGTAGGACTGCGGTAGATACATTTAACTCTAAGTTCCTTGGGGGTAGACACTGATGTAAATGCTGCATGGGAAAATGGTAATACTATATAAATGTGTAAAAGAAAATTCTGCTTGTCATTCTTTATGCTTTTTTTGTCAGGGTCCATAAGGTGCCTTAACATAATGGAAATGCAGGATCTTGTAAAACTAAAATGCTTTGTTTTGGTGTTTTGGCCAGCATATCACTTACGCTTTCATGCTATTCTTACAGTTATTTAGAGCAACAGTAGAACTATACTTTCAGATTACCAAGTTCCCCTTAAATTACCACCTTACTGAAATTGCTAGCCAGGAAGAACTAAGCTCGGTTTGGAACTTGCTCAAGTTTAAACAGAGTGCTTGTACTGTGAATGCATGGAACGCATAACTGCACAGCCTGCAATCAGTCTAAGTTGACCTTTTCTCTGAGGCTCTGGGCTGAAACACAGAGGTTTTCATAACTGCCTTTCTCTATTTATCATGCTTCATTTGAATCTCCGGTGAAGCTTCCCACTTATTAACCCTGTATTCTCTTGAGCCTAATCTGACTCCATTTTAGACTTCATTCAATCCATAACATGTCAGGGATTATAGCTCTGGAACAAATTTACTATTATATGTTTTAGTGGTCAGTAAGTAGATCCATTAATGCAAAATATACCTTACAGATTGTTAGAGAATATGTATTTGATCAGTAAAATTTGTACAGGGTCAGTCCAGCCAGAGCTGATATTTCAGATTTTGCTAGATTCTAAAGGGTTGACATCAACTGACAACTTCTTATATCTCTTGGTAACTGTTGGTGAGATATCTGTGCTTAAAGGAGAACTATGAGGTGAGTGCTTTTCACTCATCCTCATAGTTCTAGCCGACCTGTGACAAGCAAACTGTCACAGGTCGGCTCAGTAGATCGGGAAGTGAGCGAACACATAGCGGCGTTCGCTCACCTCTCGATCCTGTCATGGCAGAGAGCCGCGACAGGGGAGGGACTGGATATTTTTTTTTTTAGTCTGCAGAAGATGAAAAAAAAAAGCGTGAGGTTCCCCCCCAATTCATACCAGACCCCTTAGGTCTGAAAGGAATGTTAGGAGGGACCCCCCCAAGTTGAAATAAAAGAAAAGTGTGTGAGGTTCCCCCCAAAATCCATACCAGGCCCTTTAGGCTTGGTAGGAATTTTAAGGGGAACCCCAGCCCCCCAAAATGGGGGGGGGGAAACGTGGGGTCCCCACTAACATTCCTACCAGACCCTTGATCTGAGCACTGGCCCGGGACGGCAGGAAAAGGGGGGGCGATCGAGCGCCCCCCCTCCCTGCGCCTTACCAGGCCATGTGCCCTCGGCATTGGGAGGGTGTCCCCATGCCGATGGGGACAAGGGTCTCTTCCCCACAACTCTGACCTGGTGGTTGTAGGGGTCTGCGGGCAAGGGGGCTTATTTGCATTGGGGTATCCCTTTAAAGGAGAACTATGAGGTGAGTGCTTTTCACTCACCTCATAGTTCTAGCCGACCTGTGACAATGAAACTGTCACATGTCGGCTCAGTAGATCGGGAAGGGAGCGAACACATACCGGCGTTTGCTCACTTCTCAATCCTGTCACGGCAGAGAGCCGTGACAGGGGAAGGACTGGATTCCCCCCTCCCCGCTCCGATCCTGCAGTGCTGACTGGCGGAACAGACGGGGGAGGGGGAGGGTACAGCTGGCTCTGCCTCTAGATAGGCAGAGCCAGCTGTCACTCACACAGCTTGGCGGATCCAGACATAATTGTCGGGATCCGCTTCAGCTGCGGTATACTGCACCGTCTCAGTATATCGTGAGCTGTAGCTCGCGGTATACTGAGCTTAGGGTGATGGGAGGATGCTAGTTTGTGTCCTCCCGTTACCCTTAGGAGAACTATGGGGAAAAGCCCTAAACCCATAGTTCTCCTTTTAAATAAGGGGGCACCCAGATGCCGCCCCCCTTGTGAATGAGTAAGGGGTACTTGTACCACTACCCTTTCACTAAAGGGTTAAATCAAATAGTTATTAAAAAGTCCAGACGTTTGATAAAATCCTTTAATTTAAAAATAAAAACAAAGACTAAATTTTTGACTATTCCTTTAATTTAAAAAAATGGATCCATCGATGTAATTCAGCGTCAATCACAATGCACAACGCCCGCCGACCCGCTGAAATAAAAAAAATGCTATTTGCGAGTTTCCGAATGCCATTCGGGTCTCTGAGCTGAGGTGTCATAATGCTTTTCATATGAATACACCTCGGCTCACAGACCCGAATGGCATTCGGAAACTCACGAATAGCATTCGGGAGTTCCCAAATGCTATGTAAAGAAAAAACAAAGAAAGAAGCGCTACTACCCAGAGGGTGGCGACACCCTCCCCATGGCGAGGGCACGTGGCCTGGTAAGGCACAGGGGGGGCGCTCGATCATCCCCCCCTTTCCTGCCCTGCCACTACAGTGCTCGGATAAGGATTCCCCTTAAAATTCCTACCAGTAGTAGGTCTGGTAGGGATTTTGGGGGGAACCCCACACACTTTTTAACTTGGGGGAGGGTCCCTCCTAACATTCCTACCAGACCTAAAAGGTCTGGTATGAATTGGGGGGGGAACCTCACTTTTACTTCTGCAGACTGTAAAAAAAAAAATTCTAATGTCATCTTGCTGCAACGAATTATCGTCCAGACTACCGCTAACGAATTTTGGGAAATCAGAAATTCGGATTAATTTGCATTTTGTTTTAGCTGTAATTCGGAATTCAGATTCGATTCGGAACTAAATGAATCACACATGTCTACTGAGCATGCAACACAAGATGAGCATGCAACACATATATAGGTGGGCAGAAATATCCAAAGCTCCCAGGTGGACAAAAACAGAGTAAGGTACTATGGCAAGAAGATCTTGCTGTTGGAATACCCAAGATTAACAAGAAAATAGGGGTGCATTTTCCATCAGGTTCCACATATATAAATTAAAAATAACTTTTGCCTCCTATCTTTTTGGTGCTATGCATATTTTGCATTTGCAAAAGAAAATGTATTATATAATTTAAGGTGAACATGCAAACTTCACAAATTGGTTTTGTCTTTAGTAATTCTTAAGTCTTTACTAAGCACTTTTACTAGGCCACAGTTTAACAGGGAGAGAGCAGACAGATTTTAATTTAGAATTTATAGTTAAAGTGCACTATTTTAGGGAGACAATAGCCACAAATATTCCTTAGTGCCAGAACAGTGAAATAGGCTACAAATTAGGAGACACATTGCATGAGTTACACTACAGCAAACCCTATACATGTTTTAGCTGAGGACCAGCTGTGGGAATATAATGTATGGCCCCTTAAAAGTGCATGATTACCAGAATACACTGGATTTTTTTAGATGCAAACCACAATTGCCCTTGCAAACAAAATTACAAACTTTTCAGCTTAAGTACAGTTATAGAATAATTATGCGTGGGACCTTTGCGGTGCATGATCATCATAATAGGGCAGTAGATGCAGGATGAGATAGTAATTGTAGCAGCAGTGGCAGGAGATGGTAATTGTGGTAGGCCAGTAGTTTTGTGTCATAAAGTGGGCCTTGCACTAAAATTGCAAGGTCCAATTATTCACTAATTGCCCCCTCCCCATCTCAAAATGCGCCAAAAAATATTAGTGGAGTGAAAAATAGTTAATATACATACTTTTTCCCTGCTTCCATCTGTGGTGACTAGGCAAGGGTGCCATCGTCATCCTTCTGAAGTGATCCTGGGGCATGCTGAGTAACTCAAATCTCTTAAAGAACATAGTCCTGCACTATGCTAGTGCTTCATCTTGCATTTGGGGTACTCAATATTCCTCCAGAATCTCATTTAAAAGGATGGTTATGACACCTACTGCTGTATGGAATTTAGGGAAAAAGGTAAGAATATTGACTATCTTTCTTTCTCTCCCAGTTTTTTTTTTTTCCATTTTTGCACATTGGTTTGAGATGGTGGAGGGTGCCTTCAGTAAATAGGCAGATCTTGCTTGGAGTGCAAAGTCCACTTTAGGTAAGGACCTACCAATCTGGTCTACAGGTGAAACTTGAAAAATTAGAATATCGTGCAAAAGTTCATTTTATTTCACTAATGCAACTTAAAAGGTGAAACTAATATATGAGATAGACTCATTATATGCAAAGCAAGATAGTTCAAGCCGTGATTTGTCATAATTGTGATGATTATGGCTTACAGCTCATGAAAACCCAGGTCCACAATCTCAGAAATTTTTTGGCAGTGTGGGCAGGTGCCAAGTCCTGCTGGAAAATGAAGTAAGCATCCCCATAGAGCTCATCTGCGGAAGAAAGCATGAAGTGCTCCAAAATCTCCTGGTAGACGGCTAAGTTGCATTAGTGAAATAAATGAACTTTTGCACGATATTCTAATTTTTCGAGTTTCACCTGTAGAAATCACCAGGACTAGTTTATTAACACTACTAACTGTGCTTTAGTTTTATGGAGAATATTTTTTGATGGATCTATTCCACAAAATGATCTGCTCCATTCTTAACTTAAAGAACAGTTACTTTTACTGCAATAATCAGGTCAATCGAAAAGATGTTTGCAGTCACCTAGATACAGTATGTGGTCCTTGTGCTTCCTCCCCCAGTTCATTTTATTTCACTAATGCAACTTAAAAGGTGAAACTAATATATGAGATAGACTCATTATATGCAAAGCAAGATAGTTCAAGCCGTGATTTGTCATAATTGTGATGATTATGGCTTACAGCTCATGAAAACCCAGGTCCACAATCTCAGAAATTTTTTGGCAGTGTGGGCAGGTGCCAAGTCCTGCTGGAAAATGAAGTAAGCATCCCCATAGAGCTCATCTGCGGAAGAAAGCATGAAGTGCTCCAAAATCTCCTGGTAGACGGCTAAGTTGCATTAGTGAAATAAATGAACTTTTGCACGATATTCTAATTTTTCGAGTTTCACCTGTAGAAATCACCAGGACTAGTTTATTAACACTACTAACTGTGCTTTAGTTTTATGGAGAATATTTTTTGATGGATCTATTCCACAAAATGATCTGCTCCATTCTTAACTTAAAGAACAGTTACTTTTACTGCAATAATCAGGTCAATCGAAAAGATGTTTGCAGTCACCTAGATACAGTATGTGGTCCTTGTGCTTCCTCCCCCTAACACATAATACTACACATAATTTCTATATTGGGGTTTACAGAAGGCACATATTTGGAAATCCTAAAACCATAATTTATCATGTACATAATTAAAACATCTTCAAATCATTTATAGATAAAACAGTTTGTTTTTACAGTGTGCTTGCTTCATAATCATACAATGCCTCCCACACCCATTAAATATACAATAATCATGTAAATATTTTTATTCCAGGATTTATTGGATATGTACCCAGTGTAAAACAAATTGTGCAACAATGGACATTGCAAGATAATGACGATGATCAGCTTTTCTACACCAAAATTTACATTGATTCACTTCAACGGGTAAGACATAGAATATGTATTGCATCTACCAGCTTTTATTATTCCTTTACAAATATTCAGATTTTTAGACAATGAGCATTTCAGTCTAGACTATGGCCAGATCTTGTGATAAGGGTTATATCCACATGAATTGCAGAATTATCCCTTTGCTGGCATAATGAAGCCAAATTAACACTAGCTGTTCAATAGTTGGCGTACCATGATAAAGTTCCCTTTTGAATATTTCTTATCAGTATTGGTATAAGAAAAGGATATAGCTGCATACAGGAAAACACAATATTCCTACGCACATAACCGGACCTCATACAAGCGATCCGCCGGCTTTTTAGCCGGCGGATCGCTTGTATATTAACGGGCATCGCTGCCTGTTCTCAAATAGCGGGCATTTCCCGCGACCAGCGGCGTGGCTGAGCGGATGTCTAAAGACGCCCGCTCAGATCTAGATACCTCTTGGCCGGCCGTTTTTTTTTACAACGCCCGGCCGGGAAGTGATTAATTAACATTGGGGGGAGGGAAAAAAATGTTTGCCTTTAATGTCATTTTAAATGTGATTGCCTGGTTATGCAGGATGCATAGTGCCTATCAAGTTTTATGGCCAGGAAAACACAATGCTGACAGACAGTGGGCCTCCAGTTGTTGTGAAACTGCAAGTTCCAGCATGCTATGTCAGCTTCCTTGGCTAAGCATACACACCTATGCTGATCGATATATCACTTGATTGAGTTACTCTGAAGCTGAAGCTCTCAGGGGTTTAAAGTAATTTTCAGGCCTAAAAAGTGGATTATAACATGTATGTAAAACCAATAACAAAATAAAGTACAGTTAGAACAAGCCTGTGCTCTGCAGTAACACAGTGCAATAGTGTACAGTAGGAGAATGTTGGATACAGCCAGTCAATTTATTTTTAAATTCTACTTGCTGCATTTTTGCCATGGTTTGTGTGAATACATATTCCCTATGTTAATAACATGGATGAAGTGCATTATGCAATAACCCACACCATCCAATGAAATCTGAGTTTTCTTAACGTGAGCCCAAACTCAAGAAATTAAGATTTGCAATCTTGTATGCAACATCTAGAAATTGTAAACTATACCCTGAAAAATCTACCTTTTGCTTTTACATGCCTTGGCATATGGGTGTGCCTAGGCCAGGGGTAGGCAACCTTGGCTCTCCAGCTGTGCTGAAACTACGAATCCCATCATGCTTCTGCCTCTGGGAGTCATGTCGGTGGCTTGCAATGCCTTATGGGATTTGTAGATTCAGCACAGCTAGAGAGCCAAGGTTGCCTACCCTTGGCCTAGGCACTCATATACACACAGTTTCATAGCTGTATATCTCCTATGTTGGAGACTCTGCTGCCTCTGACTGCTAGACTCATGAGGTTTAAAGTAAGACATGGTGAGTTAATTACTGTGCTGCTTGCTGGAGAGGAATCTGTACCCGAGGACCGGCACAGCTTGCACCCCCTTGATTCTTCTTCATTCTTTCATTCTATGGGTGTATGCTTCCTACACTACTCCTGCTGATTCTTGGTCATTCCCTCACTATGGAGGCAGCTTTGACATGAGGAAGCAAAGCCCTTTTCCTCTACCAAGATGGCCACCTCCAAACACAGACACCGTGTGTAACTAAGCATGGCAAATGGGGCATGGGGAAAAGATCAGCTGCAGGGAGCCTACAAGCAAAGCTGCTGACTAGTCCTTTGTCATCTGCTTGCCTTTTTTATTCATGACTATCACAGTTCAGGTTTTCTTTAACTGTAATGGTAAGATTGATTCTAATTTGGTTGTTGTGGGTCACTGTACTGTGTACATTGCTTTCTGAATTGAATAACCATAGGCCCAATCTATTTTATGTTACAGCACATTTAGAAATAATGTTTATGTTTTAGTAATACCAATAATGGAGATTTCTCCTAATTTAGTAATGTATTAGTATTAGGTTTCCAAGACAATAAAAGCCATATAGAGCGTTCTTTGAACTGTAGCCAGTGTTCTAGTAGGATGCACACCTGTAAAACATATTATGTTCAGTGTGACATCATTTTTCTTTTTATGTGAGTGAGAGAAAAAGAAAAACAGATATGTCTGTGGGTTTTGCCAAAGTTTAGTATGATGAATGTGAATTAACTAAAAAAAAAAAGGTATCAAAATGAAAAAGCTTTTCTGTAATAGCAGCCAAATCACAACTCCACTTTATGCCCTGACACTTAACATATGTTGCCCTTTTTGGCATTCTAGAGTGTGATGTTTCTTTCAATTAAATAACTTCATAGAAGTTGGAATAGATAACAGTAAATCAATAACTTTACAAGTATTCTTTCCAAAGAGTAATTTGTCCAAAAACTACAAGAGTGTAAGTAACAACTTAATTAATTAAAGGCCAAGAAATTGAAAATTACACTTGTTTATATGAAAGGGTTTAAATAACTTTAACAGATGCACTTGATTACTGCAGTTTGTCAAAACTGAAAGTATTGGAAATAAAGAATGTTTTGAAGAATGTTTTGTTTAACACCACTGATTTTCTGTTTAGTCATTCCACTAATAATAAAGCTGCCCATAAGATATAGAGGGCTCTTAAGGCAGCTACTGCTAGGCTATCTTTTTAAAAGGCCCAGAGAATGTTTTATAAACACAGTCATGAAAGTACCCTATGTTAAATGTTTTATTCTAAAATTAATATTTTTTTTACAACTAATTTAAAAGTGACCACAAATTACAATTTACAAACATATATTGTGTGGAAACCAATAAAAAAAAAATCAAGACTACCAAGGGTCAGCACATCAAAATCAAAGATCACATGCACTTTTTTTTGCTTGAAAATAATATTATAAGTGATAGTCAGCACGGTTTCACAAAAGACAGAAGTTGTCAAACAAACCTACTTTCTTTGAGGAAGTGAGTAATAAATTGGACAGAGGAATGGGTGTGGCTATAGTATACTCAGGCCCGGATTCCCCACAAGGCCACCGAGGCCCGGCGGCAGGGCGCAGAGGGGCGGCAGCGGTGTCCTTGTGGGGAAGTTGGCCTCTCTACATTCCGTCCTGCTTTGTACAAGCAGGACTGAATGTAGAGTGAGGCAGACGATTTTTCATTTACATGTGAAATCGGCGATGCCCGTGGGCCAATTTCGTGGGCCGCAATTGGCCCACGGGCTGGTACTTGGAGACCCCTGCCTTACAGGATGTGTCAAACTTACAAGCAGTAATCAATCCCAAAAGATGTCACCAGCACTCCAAAAGTAGAATCAAAATCTTTTAATGACAACGATCCTTCAAAATCACAAGTACTTTCGGGGCCACGTAGGATCCCCGTCATCAGGCTTGATGCCATCAGGCTTTAAGGACCGTTGTCATTAAAAGATTTTGATTCTACTTTTGGAGTGCTGGTGACATCTTTTGGGATTAATACTTGGTTACACGGTGCCTCCGTGGTCGCTACAAGCACCCGATTACAGACATCATCTCCTAGGAGATCCGGTAAGGAGTGCAGTAAGACACACTTTTTTTGCAAACTTACAAGCAGATCTGAATGCACTGTATGATTGGGCATCTATTTGGCAAATAAGGTTTAATGTTGATAAATGTAAAGTTATGCACTTGGGAACTAAAAACATGCATGCTGCATATACTCCAGGGGGAATATGTTTGGGGGAGTCAATGATGGAGAAAGATCTGGGTGTTATGGTAGACCATAGCCTCAATAATAGCATGCAGTGTCCAGCCACAGCTTCTAAAGCAAGCAAAATACTTATTAAAAGGGGTCTAGACTTTCAAGATAGAGACATAATTCTGCCCCTGTATAAAGCATTGGTAAGACCTCATCTGGAATATGCAGTTCAGTTTTGGGCACCAGTTCAGAAAAAGGATGTTGTGAAACTGGAGAAAGTTCAGAGAAGGGCGACTAAACTCATAAGAGGCATGGAGGAGCTCAGCTATGAGGAAATATTAACTGACCTGAATTTGTTCTCTCTGGAGAAGAGGCGATTAGGGGTGGGACATGATCACCATGTATAAATACATAAATGGTCCATATAGTGAGCTTGGTGCCAAATTATTCACTTTAAGGTCAATGCAAAGAACCTTGAGAAGAAGAAACAGCAATGGCCTATGTTCCGATTCCCTGTTTTTGAGGAGAGTGTTTCTTACAAGATGGTGTTGTATTGTTGAGTATGGATCCCTCTACTCGGTGGGCCATGGCAACTGTAGTCACAGCTATGCTCCATATTTGTGTACCAATGGTCCACTAGACACTCCTGAGACTTCCCTTGCTCTTGTAGTTTGCATGCCTCTGATCAAAGAGGCAGACCTGGGCCTGGACCAATCTAATGAAGTCCTCAGTAGACATGCGGTTCAGTGTTGAGTCCCCATCTTGGTTCCAGTGTGCTGTGTGACAGGGAGAGGTCCTCTCTCCATGCTGTGAAAAACCACATGGTTATCGCTAATAAAAACACACATGTACATTCGCAATTTCATTACAAGTCTATGGAACCAAAACCGCACGGGATTCCGCCTCAAAATAGCTCCTGCATCTTTTTGCGTGATGGGCATTTTTCTATGCACGGCGCAACGCTAAGATGTGAACAGTTGCCATTGACTTGAATGGAAATGTGTATTTTGCCTGTTTTCGCACACATAGATCTGCACGTATAAACTGCTCAGGTTTGAAGCAGGCCTTAAAAGTCTGACCTGCTCTGTGCACCACATAACAGCCCTTACATTGCTCCAGTCTGCTTTGTATCAATATTGATCTCCTGAGACTTAGTATACATTTTTCTTTCTCTTTCAATGCTTTGGTTACATCCATTTATAACGAACAATTGTTTTATTACAGTGGAATGAAAAGAACAATGCCTGCTTTAAGATCCTGTTTTCCCCTTTCTCGCCCTCTGTACAGGAACGTATAAACATTACTTTGGATCACAAATCTCACATTTTCCAAAATCTAAATGGAGCAATTGGTAAGATATATGATATTTTTTCTTCAACTTCTGCAACATGTTCATTTATAAATTACTGCTGGCAAAATGAATGTTTTGCAAAGATCGCTACATTGTGCCAATAAAGGATAACCGTGACTTTATGCATTGAGCTGATGATATATAAACACTGACATACACTTCTCCAGCGAAGTAAAATGTATGCAAATGTTTGAGGATACTAAAGTAACTGGTGGGAGAATGGCCCAAACTTGTTCAAATTGACATGGAAATTATGGTTTATTGGGCATCTTGCCCGGTAGTGAATTTAGAACGATTGCCATTGTAGAGCTAACACACAAATACTGGCAACTTAACAATGGTTTCCAAGAACATTTGTGAAGTAGAAATTTGAATGCAATCTTTGTTGCTATGATGACAGAAACAGCCTGTTTGTTACATGTCTGAAATAAAAACTGTGTTTCTCATTGCATACTAAAAATCTTCTGAAATCATTTCACGTGCCCTGGCTCTGTTGTGAGATTTGTAGATTTTGGAACCTGCCTAATCCTTGACTGAAGAAAATCTTATCCCTAAAACTGTCATTTTGGCACTTGTTGGCAGCCCTTGGGAGTCGTGGTTGCCCAGGCTGATTACTGCTGTGCAGAGGATTATATAAAGTTAAATGTAAATGTGGGTACTTACCCAGCTTGATATGCAGTCATCATAAAGTTCATTGCACGTAAAACTGCAATAAAACTGTATTTTTTATCTTCCCGGAGTTCAGTGTTAATTGTTTAAAAGGTTTGTCACTGGGTTTAGGAGAACACTGTGGGAAGTCCTGGGAGAAGTAAGGTCCAGTTCGGTAAGAATCTTCTATGTCCATGTGCATATCCAACAGGATATTTACTACAGACTAGAGATTAGTAAACTCCTTTATTCCTTAAAGAAGGACGCCAAGAAAAAATGACTGCAGCGCTGGTATGTCCCTCTGCCGCCTAATTTCCAATACACTATATAGAATGTGATGACTCGAGGGGGAGCAAGGCGGAAAGTGACTTGTCTAAGAGCTGGCCAGATCCGAAGAGCAAGCGAGTATAACTTTTTAAATATCTAGACACAGATGAGCAGTTAACCCTTGCAGTGCTTGGGTAGCCCCTCTGCAAGAGTTAAGCATTTTTTTCCCTAGAGTTCTGCTTTAATAGAGACATGAACATTGTGCATGTTTCCTGGTTTAACAGCACTTCTATAATTGCTGGCTTATATTACCAATAGACTGATGGCTTTCCAATACTATGTATTATTATATGATTGTGTTTGTTATGTGTACCTAAAAATAATTTTTTAAAATAGACTTTTTCCATTTTAGATGTTTCTTTGGTGAAGGCCTTTGTGCATATTCCAAGCTACTCTGAGCAGTTTGAGAGTGAAACTATAGTGTCAGACTGAGCTTCCTTTTATTGACATACAACGCCTTGAAGACTTTAACCCTTTGTTAGGACAAACAATGTTCAAATCTAGTTTACAACAGACTATGAAATCTGCCAGCAAAGTACAGACAGGGTTAATTAGAACACACAAAACTTTGCTTTATACTTGCTTGAAAATCCTACCTAGTCTCCCCTCCTATGTAATGTTGTGCACTTAAAAATGTAAGAAACCCTTTGTTTTTTGAGTTATGCTATATGAATTCGATTTTATCCCAATTTGGCTGCAAACTTGGAACTACACAGGCTTTTACTGCTTTCAGGGGCGCCATTGGAGAGATTTACCTTCACTTCCTGTCCTGCTGACAATATTTTACTAGAGGGGAAGTTATAAGAACTCTCCAATGCAACACAAAGAGAAAAGAAAATGATTTTCTTTATGAGAGTAGGGAAAGGCTAGAACCCCTGTTACATATATATTTCTGTCAGTGACCCTGTTGCAGATTTTCCCCTCACTTAATTTCTGGTGAAACTGTTGTCAGCTGGAAAGGAAGTGAGGGTAAATCTTTTTAACGGAGTCTCGGACAGTAGTAAAAACATGCAGTACTAATCTTTCCCAAGTATATTTAACCTCTTGCCGTCCGCCCGTAGTAAAAAAACGGACGGACGGCACTGCAGCATCTGCGGGTTGCCGTCTCCAGACGGCAATTTTTTTCTGCTCGCGAGCGCCCCCCTAGCGGGCACGCACGGGCAGAAAAGACCCGCTAAATGCACACACCCGTTACCGGGTGTTTCACATATAGGCGATCGGCGGGTCCATAGCCCGCCGATCGCCTATATGTGCTCGTTCGCGGCACCCCCCCTACCAGGGTTGTTATCCCCCTATATAATAGCAATACCAATAAGTGCAAAAAAAATAAATATAAATAAAAAAAAATAAAAGTAACACATAAAAAAGTAAAATAAAATAAAAGTCACATATAAAAAAAGGGGAAAAAAACCCCCCAAAATGTTTAACTCCCCCACCCCCACGTTTACGCGCCTATAAACGTAAATACGCGTCCGGTGCCCCAGCGCGCAAAAATTACAATTGCGCTACACATGTTACATATCGCCGCGAACGTCGCAGTGAGAGCAATCATTTTAGGGCCATCAATCACTGATAACACTAAACTGATGAGCGGTAACAGCTTTTAAAGCGTCGCCTAAGGCCAATTTTGGGTATTATCGTTTTTTGAGGTTTCGCGCGCGCACGCAATTTTAAGGCTTGACATGTTTAGTGTCTTTTTACCCGACGTGACCCCATCTTTTATATTTTACCAAAAAATTGGGTAATAATAAATGTTTTATCATTTAATATAGGGGAAACTGTTTTTTTTTAAAACAAATCGGTAATTTTTCCTTAATATAGTAAAAAAATAAAACCCCCAGTGGTGAATAAATACCACCAAAAGAAAGCTCTATCTGTCCCCAAAAAAGGGTATAAAATTCATTTCAGTACAGCGCTGCATGACGGAATAAATGTCAGTTAAAGTACCGCAGCGTTGAATACTGAAAAATGGCCTGGATGGGAAGGGGGTTTAACACCGCGGATGTCAACTGGTTAAAACTAGTAATTAAAGCTTTTGGTTTGACTGGCATGTGAATGGTATTAGGCTGGGTTCACATTGTGTTATTGCTTACGTTACAGCAACACTTGAAAGTGCACATTGGTGCGGTGCCACTCATTCTTAATGGCACCAAAATGCAATTTAACAGCACACCTGTGTTGCAGTACATTGCAGCACATTACTGTCTGTTGTGGTGTGCTGCATTACATGAAAATAGTGCATGCACCATTTTAGTGCGTTAGACAGCCTTATTAAATGAATGGGTTGGCTTAATGCAACGCACTAATGCACAACAATGTGAACCCAACCTTATGACTAGTCTGTTCATCTAATGCACTAACCTGCTTATTCCTAAAAAAAAATAATAATGCTACTAATTATCGTGTCTTACAGACGAGGTTGCAATTTACTTTGATGGTGAAAAAGCTAGAGCAGAAAACACCCAGTATGAGACTTTGCCAGTTGTAATACATGGAAACGGCCCTACCAAGGTATAGTAAATATATGTATATAACTAGTAGCTAACTCATAGTTAAATTTGCCTGACATTTCTTGATCCGAATCTGATATGATGATTACACACCTGTAATGGGTAGAATGAGAGCGCCAGACCAAGAGAAGGGTAGAGTCCAAAATCTTTCAATCATTCAACTGATAATAAAAAGTAGATAGGCAATGCATTTCGGAGACCACAAATCACCCATCGGGGCTAAAGACCACTGGTGTTAAACATAAGAATAAACATCATCATAATATTCTTAAAAATCCATGTATAGGCAGGAAATTAATATGCCAATTGTAGTGTCATAATGGTGTAATTTAAAAGATGAAAAATGTATACCTTGCACTAAAGGGTGCTTAAACTGGGAGACTAATAACATCTTGGAAAGATGGAATAAAAATAAGCCTCAGATATTTAAAAAATGGAGTAAAAAATAGTACAGTATTAAAAAAAAAATAAGTGGAAACGGCCCTACCAAGGTACAGTAAAAATATGTACAGTATATAGCTAGTAGTTAACTCATAGTTACATTTGCCTGACATTTCTTGATCTGATTACGATATGATATGATTACACACCTGTCTACCACAGTAGGTAATCTTGCGAACTGCATTAAGCTGCCCATAAACCTTACAACCACCGCACGACATTCGTTGTGCGGCGGTTGTAAGGTGATTAAAATTTTTTACGATCTGCCCATCATGTACAGTATATGTATGTATATATATGTATATATATGTATATATATATATATATATATAATCCCCCCTCCCCCCCCAGCCCTTTACAAAAAAAAGGAAATGCCTCTATAATATACATCAA